GGCCCGTGCCGAAGACAGTATTGTGTTATGCCCCGCCAGCCTTGTAAAACATGGCTATGTTGTGTTGGTCGGTGACATGTTGAAGCTTGCGACGAAGTTGTTTCACGGCGACAGCCCAAACTTACAGGTAGTTGCCACCAATCCTGATGGCAACGATCCACCGTTTGAAGAGGGAGAGCTGCCAGGCCCAGTGCGCCGGCATAGTGCCAAACGGCCCGTTGTGCTTGCAAAAGTTGGTTGCGAAAGCCGGGGAACACCCCAGGCCGTTGACCAATGTGCTCGTGAGCTTGCTGCTACAACGCCGTTTGATGTTGATGCGGCTTTGGCCTTTGTTGCTCAGTTGTCTCTTTCTGACCTTGACGCGTCGCGTGATAATGGCAAGCGCCTACACTCTGGCAAGCATCATGTGTTTGGTCAGTTTGTGCATGGTGGCGTGTCAGGTGTGACCAAGAACACGAAGCGTTACTCAGGTGTAGCAGCGTTGTTGACCAAGCTTGTGCGGCATGCTGTGCCACACGCTGAGTTTACTACCGTTGTTTTGAGTACTGACGCTGAGGCAGTGTTGCATCGTGATGTTCACAATCATCCGTTGTACCCAAACCACATAGTTACTGTGCAAGCGCCGTCTCGTGGTGGTGGCTTGTGGGTGCAAACTGTCAGTGGTGATGAGCAAAGTGGACCAGCGGTTTGCAAAACGCTTCCTACAGGACAAGTTGCGCAAGGACAAGTTTTTCCCTTAGGACAGCCGTTCCAGTTCAACTCGCACCGGTGGCATTGCACTGAACCGTGGCCATGTGAAGAGCATCGAGTTGTGCTCTCTGCTTACACGGTGAGCCGCCCGGATAAGCTCAAAGGAGCGGAGCGTGCGGAGTTGACAAGCCTGGGGTTCAACGTTCCCCCACCAGAGCAGTTTTCCAATGTTGCTGTTGCACAGCAAGGGGGAGCCACCCCTCTGAAAGAGCTTGAAAATCCCAAAAACCCTAAAAATAGCATAATCCAAAACCCAAAAAAGCTTGAGAGTGAAGGCGTAGGTCCTGTTGCTGAAGAGCAGGCCGCCGCATGTACCTGTAGTTGCTGTGAGCGTGACTGTGTTGTTTGCAGCAAGTTGTTTGTGAAGCTTGACGCCGTGTGCTTTGCTGGGGTGTCGCCAGAGGCAACCGTTGAGCGTGAGGTGTCTGCCGAGCCAGACCTGTCCATGAGCGTACCTTGCTGTTGTGCGGTAGGGTGCGAGGAGTTCGAAGCACAGTTGTTTTTCGACAGTTTTCGGCCAACTAACCTTGAAGACACGCCAGACAGAGCGTGTGACGAGGAGGCCTATGAGCAAGAAGTTGAGCAGGCTCTGTTTTTAGAACCGCGCGAGCTTGAGGGTGATGCGTGGGCGCTTGAAGGGCTGCTTAACGAGCACAGTGTGGTGAGCAAACTGATCGCCCATGAGCGAAAAGAGTTCATCACAGCCTTTGAAGAGCATGGCCTAAAGGAGGCCTGTGAGGGCACCATCCTCTCTGAGCTGCTCGTGAAGCGTGAGGAGTTGGAGTGCGAGTTGCGTGCTTTGAGCTTGCGTGACGAAAGTGCGGTTGCTGTCTGCGTGTGTGAAGCATCCTTTCCGGAAACTCTTGATGAGAACGCGGTTCAAGAGGACACGCCGGAGCAGGTGTTGCAGACCAAGATCGTACCGAACTGGCAAGTTCTTCAAAACTTCGAGGTGTGGCGACCAGCAGTCGTCGCAGAGTTCCTGTCCCTAACTGAGGACAAAGAGGCGCTTGAGCCTGTGACGCAGGAGAGGCTGGACGAGTTGAGCGCCAAGGGTGTGAAGGTCACTGTCATTCCCTCAAAGCTTATCTGCAGTATCAAGGCCCCCAAAGGTAGGCTCAAAGCCCGAATAGTTGCTTGTGGTAACTTTCTTGGTACGTGCCTAGGAGAGTCAAAGGCCCAGAGGAAACATGACCTCTACTCTAGTGGAGTTGACCTTACTCACCTGCGCATGTTGTTAGCATATAGTTCACGTCGTGGAATGCCTGTTTGGTCTGTAGACATCAAGACTGCTTTCCTGAACTCAGAACTGTTACCTAGGAACCGTGAGGGTGCACAAGAAGCAGTAGCTCACGCTGGAACTGCTCACGCGGTCCGCCGGGACTCGCCGGAGAGCGAGAACCCAGCCGAGTACGTTGTCCTGAACCCTCCACGTATCCTAGTGTCCAAAGGAGTCGTGCCTGTAGGTACTTTCCTCATAGTGAAAAAGGCAGTTTACGGTCTTGACCAAAGTCCAAGAGACTGGGGTTTCACTAGAGACGCTGAACTTCGTACCTGAAAATTCCCTGGAAAAGCAAGCTTTTGAAGTTAGTGCAGTCTCTTGCTGACGAGTGCGTTTGGTTTGTTGTTGACGTTGAGACAGTTCTCGTTCAGGACCCAGACTTTCCTGTGCCTGCGCAGTCCCAGGAAGTGCTCGGGTGGATCGCTGTCTACGTTGACGATATTCTTGGGTCAGGTATAGAGGATTTAGGCGAGGGGGTCATTAGGGCAGTTTGTGAAAAGTGGGCGTGTTCTGACCCAGAGAAGGTTGGAAGTGACCCGTCGAATCCAGTTCGCTTTTTAGGACTAGAGCTGTACTGGTCAAGGGAGGGCAGGTTGGTTGTGACTCAAACCGCTTACGCAAAGGACTTGCTGAGTAGGTACACCAACGAGTTTGTCGCTTCTGTGCAGCCTCTTCCGCAAGGACTGGAGGACCCTGTTGCCGTCCCTAACCCCAACGCCGAAAGCATTAGGAAGTGCCAACAAGTTGTAGGTGAACTGCTGTGGTTGTCGATTCGTACTAGGGTTGACCTTTGCTACCCCGTTTCCAAGCTTGCTCAGTGGAGCACAAAGGACCCTGAGTTCACGTTTAGGCAGGCCCTGCAGGTTCTAGGTTACTTGTCTGTGACGCCGTCGGTAGGTCTTGTTTTCGCAGGGCCAAAGGACAGGGATGAGCACAACCTTGTAGGAGCACAAGACTACATGCACGTGCTGCAGGCATACACAGATGCGTCGCACGCACCAGGAGGTGATAGGTCTCATGAGTGCACCGTGCTTCGCTGTGAAGGGTCTACTGTTGGTTGGGTCAGCACAAGGCAGCCTTTTTGCACGCAGTCTTCATGTGAAGCAGAACTTCTCTCCACTACTACTGGCAGTAACTATGCAGTTGCACATGTAGGACTTGCTCGTGAGCTGTGGCAGCATGAACCAAGGGTGTTTGTGGCAAACGACAACCTGAGTGCTATCACAGTGATCAACAGCCCCACCGTTTCTTGGAGAACCCGTCACCTAAAAATTAGGGCTAGAGTCCTGAAAGAGAGGTCCGACATGAAATTGCTCGTTTTCGTGCATGTAGGTGGAGACAAGAATGGTGCTGATATAGGGACTAAGGCACTTGGCCCGCAGAGGATCAAGACGTTGATGGCAGTGCTGGGAATGTCCGCGCAGGATCCGCCTGCCGAAACCACTAAGGCAAAATCCGTTCAGCACGTGAAGGATTGCCTAAGGGCAGTCATTTTGGCTTGTTGCCTGTGCAACGCCAGAGCCACTAAGGACCAGGACAGGACCCAGAGCAGTGAAGACTGGTCTCTTGTAGTGTTTGCTGTGCTAATCTCAATCACGTCCATTGCAGTTTGGGAAACATGTAAGGCTTGTTTGAGGGCAGTGTTTCGTCTTGCCGAGGAACTCCTCAGGCCGAGACTCCCAGCCCCAGAACCTGAAGAGCTTTTCATACCTGAACAGCCCGAAGATGAGTATGAAGGCCCAGATCCTGATGAGGCCCCCGTTGCTCGTGTTAGGGATCCCGTTCCCGCAATGACCCCTGAAGAAGGCCTGAGGCGAAGGCCCCCAAGACCTGTAGCGCAGCAGGAGCCTGATGTAGAGCCTCAAGGCCGCCCTATCACATTTGCCTTTGCTGATGATGAGGTTCAGGTGTTTATGCCAGGCCCAGCAGACGCGCCAGCGAACCCGCCTGAGCCTGTTCACGGAGACACAATCGCCCAGCCTAGAGGCCCCTTCCAAGCAAGGCCCCTACGGCTCAATCATCCACCTGATCCGCCCTATATCCTCAGGGTCGGCTGGCCCGCCCCCACGCTGCAGCCAACTATGAGGGAAATGCGGCTGACGAGGACATCATGGGGTGGAGATCTATCCACACTTTTTCAGGCACCGCCGCCAGAGTTTCGACAGGACTTCTTTCAGTACGATGCAGAGAGGCCAACTGTCTTAGTACGCTGGCACGCTGTCGTGAGAGTTCGTCGCTTCGACCCAGCGCAGACCAGGTTGCCCGTTCCTCTGGGAGCACTCACAGGCCGCAGGAGGACGCTAGCCATATATGCAGCTGGTGAGCGACAGTATTATGATGATAACTGGCGAAGCCCAGAAGCTGCTCGCCGGTACCATGAACACGAGTGGCGTGGTCGCACTGAACTTGAGGTCGATGTGCGACGCCTTTACCCAACAGGGTAGATGAGTTCTTGCTTCATCCATGCCGGGGAAACACTCCAGGCCGGAGTGGAGCATTCGAAGCCCATTTCGTCAACGAAGCATTCTGCTTCCAAGAGGCTACGCTTGAGCCTGCCGGGAAAGCATCCCAGGCCGCAGGATCCAGTGAGAGCCCTCTTTGCCGAGCTCTTTTGCCTCCCGAAGTACAGTTGGTGACACGTCACCAAAGGGGAGCGCGAGTGAGTGAGCAGCCAGTTTGAGAACACGAGTATCGACTTATCCGTAATCGCTTTGGCCTCAAGGTCTACAGAGGGGCCCAGGCCACAAGCAGTTGCGTTTTTGTTCAAAGCAAGCATGTATAGTGTACAGTCATAGGACACAGACTCCTATCAGAACTTGTCTTGTTGTTTGTTGTGTTGTTCCTGCTTGGTGGAAAAGAGAGCCCTGCGTAACCCCGCTGTGGAGCTTCCTGCCCACGCGAGACCCTAAACCCTAAACCCTAAACCCTAAACCCTAAACCCTAAACCCTAAACCGCATCTGCGCTAAGGCCTCGACCGGCACCTTTTGGCTGAGGCGGTCGTGAAGGACCTGCTGGCGCTCCAAAAAGTGCCCAGAACCCCCTTGAAGTGCTGTCGTAGGGTTTAGGGTTTAGGGTTTAGGGTTTAGGTTTGCAAAAGGGTTTAGGGTTGAGGGTTTGGGGTTGAGGGCTTAGGGTTTAGGGTTGAGGGCTTAGGGTTGAGGGTTAATTCGGGGGTTTAGGGTTTCAAAAGGGGCTTCGGGTGAGAAAAGGGGTTTAGGGATTCAAACCAACCATTCAAAGCCCCCCCCCTTCCCCGGGCCCTGAAGCGCTCGAAGAGCAGGACACCTACCATGATGCTGCGGACCAGGCAGAGCTGCTTCCCCGGTCACCCCAAACCCTGTAAACGCTGCAAGCCCTATACACCAGGTAAACCCTTGACCCTTAAAGACCCCATAAGACCCTGTAAACTGTGAACCCTACAAAACCCCAGAAAGCTCTAAACCCTTTACGACCCAAGATCAGCAAGTTTTTTGACAAGGCTATACCTCTCAGGTCTCTGTCAATATTCAGGGGGGTGGGGGAGGGGTTCAGGGTTTAGGGTGGGCTGCGCAAATGCGGGCTTGGGTGATCCCAGCTGATGCTCTGAGTCTGGTCAAAAGTGTTTAGGGTGCAGGGTCCCTAAACCCTAAACCCCAAACACTAAACCCTAAAACCTAAACCCGAAACCCCAAACCCTAAACCCTAAACCCTAATCCCTAACCCTAAACCCTAAACCAACAGTAAGCCTGAGGGGGGACTTTGTCAGGGGGCCATCTACCACCTCGTGGCCTCCTACGGGCTGAAGTTCCAGATCGGTGACACGCTCTACGACTTGGCCAAGCCACCGCGCCCCAAAAAGAGGGTTTTTGGGGTTCAGGGTCTAGGATTTAGGGTTTCGGGGTTTCGGGTGAGGGGGTTGAGGGGGCCTTGAGGGGTTTTGAAAGGGTTGGGGGTTTGAGGAGTCGGGTTGAACCAAGTTAGGGGCTGAGGGGATGTGCGTTGGGACCTGGGATTTTCCACAACGTTGCAGGAGGCCAGCAAGGTCCGGCTTTCTCGGGTTTTATCGGATGCTAGGGTTCTAAGCCTAAACCCTGAACCCTGAACCCTAAACCCTAAACCCTAAACCCCGCGGTGTGGCTAGTCTGCTTGGCGGCAAAGAACCCTGAAAAACCCCTAAGCCCTCGGGTTTAGAGAGCCGTTTCATGGTGCTTGCCATTGCTTGACTTCAGGCGCAATGACTGCAAGAATGCTGAGTTGGCCCTCAGGCGCTGGAAGGTGCCCCCGGAGCCCAAGACCCCAAAAAAGCCTCAAGGTACCGAGCGAACTGACCTGCTGAGGCAGAGGTTGGTGCAGCGTTTTTTGGCAGGGTCTCGGGCCCCGTAACCTGTTCCAGCCTGTAGGTTTGGGGTGCAGGCAAGAGGACTGGCTTCGTTTCGAGACGCCTCCACGCTTTGTGTCCCTGACGCAGCCACTGTCGCCTAAAGCACCCTACACCCTAAACCCTAAACAATGTCGCCGGCAGTCGATACGGCTCGCGCGGCTGGACGACGACCCGTTCACGGCCACTGGGTCGATGGCCGCTGGGCCGACTGCGCCGACGGCTGCTTGGCGGGATGCAGGTGTAGGGCTCTTTCTGGGGCTGGTGCTCCAGGGATACTCTGCAGGATTCTCCGTTCTGGAAACTCCAGTGGCACTCCGGGACAGTGTGCAGGATGCGCTGCGGGAGATCAGGAGGTGAGTTGAAATCATGAAGAGAAGGATGTTTCACACCTCATGAACATCGCCCTACTGTAAGAACCATGAGAGGTCCAACATACTGGGCTGGCGGTTTGAGACGTTAGGACGTACATGAATTAGAGAGTATTATCGGCATTATATCAGTACTAGTACTCAATTTCTTAATTTATGGTTTCTACAGTTTCTTGTTTTTTTTGGGGGTCGCTCGGTGAAGAGCTTGTTCATGGCGCAGAAGAGAGGTTGGAGGGAGAGGAGGGTGGAGAGGAGGTGGAAAGACAGGAGTTCCCGCTAAATGTTTAGCCCCATGCGAAACCGAAAGCCTAACCCCCAAACCCACAAGCCCACAAGCAAATACGCCCATAAAGCCCTAAACTCTTAAACCTATTACTACCAACCCATGGACAAATGTACTCATAAAGACATGAGCAAATACCACCAAAACAATGAACCCCTAAACCCCTACACCCATAGCCCCGCAACCCCTAAACTCATAAACCCAGAAACCTATAAGACTTGAGACCCATAATATATCATAATATCATAAGCCCTTGAGGCCACAATCCCATAAATCCAAACACCAAAAACCAAAAACCTCTAACCCCGAAAACGCTGAACCCATAAGCCCCCTGAACCCCGAACGGAAACCGAGCGATTACACCCCTAAACCCTAAACCCTAAACCCTAAACCCTAAACCCTAAACCCTAAACCCTAAACCCTAAACCCTAAACCCTAAACCCTAAACCCTAAACCCCTGATTGTGTCCAGGGCCCACCCCCGCCCCGGACAGACGCTCCGATGGACTTGAAGGCAATGGGGGGTTCGCCGAAATAGGGGACCCCTAATATAGACTCCCCCCCACATAGTAGGATCCCCCTTTCTTTAGGGACCCCAGAAGGTACCCCTAGTATCGTAAACCTCCAATGGCTGCCGGCTTCGGGTGCGTGGAGGTTTTGGGGGGGCAGGAATTTAGGGGATCCAGGTTCGAGGGTTCACGAATGTAGGGCTTCGTTCCTGTACCCCAAACCCTAAACCCTAAACCCTAAACCCTAAACCCTAAACCCTAAGCCCTAAGCCCTAAGCCCTAAGCCCTAAACCCTAAACCCTAAACCCTAAACCCTAAACCCTAAACCCTACGGGTGGGTTCAGAAGATGGCCCGTGCTTCGGATTCAGCCGCTGGAGCCCTGCTTGCTTTGCAGGTCCACCTGACCAACGCGATGCTTCTCGCCTCAAGAGCAAAAACCTCCAAAGGGTTTAGGGTTGAGGGTTTAGGGTTTAGGGTTTAGGGTCAGAGCAAAAAACATCTAAACTCGAACCTGAGGGTTTATGGCGAGGAAGAGTCCATGCGCAGAGTGTGCTAGGCCGCAAGGTCTGTTGAGATGGTGCCGTATCCTGAGAAGTCACGGAATGTGGGCCAGATTCTGGTGAACCCTTGAACCCGACCGCCTAAACCCGAATTCCCGCAACTCGACCCTAAACCCCTTAGTCATGGGGTCTCATGGAGCTTCAAGCCCGAAAGTCGTGCAAGAAGTACAGTTCCAGTGTTGGGTTGAGACCCGGAGGATGCACAGTCCACAGATCAAGACTGGACCAGCCCCAGAACCCTAAGCCCCCAGAACCCTAAACCCTAAGTCCTAAATCCGAAGCCCCCCTTTCCCTCGCCATGTTCGAAAGGACTGGGGCGGATGTCTGCACGCTCAGTGCCAGCAGCCAGTGGACTCCTGCCCTGCAAAGGGCAAGACGCCTCTTGGGGCTTGGGCCCTAAACCCTAAACCCTAAACCCTAAACCCTAAACCCTAAACCCTAAACCCTAAACCCTAAACCCTAAACCCTAAACCCTAAACCCTTGCAAAGAGGGGTCGTGGGGCCTCTAGGAGCTCAAGGTTGACAGTGTTTCGGGTTTACGGGTTAGCCCTTGTTTTCGTTCTGGTGTCGCTACTCTAGCGGCTGCCCCAAGCTCGATGACGAATTCTAGTTCAACCTTAGGGTTTAGGGTTTGGGGTTTAGGGTTTAGGGTTTAGGGTTTAGGGAAACGGACTTGATGACTGCCAGCTGAAAAGGAGCCAGAATCTGAAACACGGCGGCACCCGCGATAGACACGAGGAACAAGCCCTAGATGAGGGTGGTTTGGGCCCCTGCTTCTAGCTAAGCCCTCAAGCCAAGCCCCTCAGCCCTTAAACTTGCAAGAAGCGCGTCACGTCCGTATCCTGTTCTAGTACACCGGAGGCAGCATCACGGGGTATAAGGAGGGACCCCTAGAAGGGACCCTTAATCCCATTCCCTTTATATATCCCTATATATACCTTATATAACCCCCCATATATACCTTATATGACCCCTATATAACCCTTATATATGCCTCTCATATAGCCCCCCGCATACCGAAGAGTAGCCCCTAAATCGCCACTAAGTAATTAACCCTAGAGTCCGCTACAAGGGTCCCGCCTTTAGTTCCTTGACAGTATCCTCAAGGAACCCTAAACCCTAAACCCTAAACCCTAACCCCTAAACCCTAAACCCTAAACCCTAAACCCAACCCTAAACCCTAAACCCTAAACCCTAAACCCTAAACCCTAAACCCTAAACCCTAAACCCTAAACCCTAACACCCTAACACCCTAACACCCTAACACCCTAAACCCTAAACCCTAAACAGGAGGTTTTCTGAGCAAATTTCTGCCTCCAAGGACCATCGCGCTCCTCGCGCGTGCAGCGGCCTCCGAGGTTCCCTCACCAGGCACCGAAGCTGGCTGGGAGGGGAGGACTGAAGTTTTTTGGGGTTTTATTCTTATTTATATTCTTATATTGTTCTTCTTCTTCTTCTTCTTCTATTTGTGTTTTCGGGAGGGGGTTTAGGGGTTGTAGACGGTCAGTTCTCTGAACGGTAGTGTCCTGTCATAAGATCCGCCCCTTGCATTTTAGGTTACCCCAAAAAAATCATGACTTGGAGAGCTGGGCGATAACCCCTACTAAGGACTCTTAGCATTTCCGAGAACATCCCAACTTCTCAGCAACATGAGGCGGCTGCCGCCTCTTCCTTAAGGGTGCTGCCGCGCTGACGGCGGGAACGGTGCTGGCAGACTTGCAGGAACCTCGGGCCGCCCCTTTCTTAGGGTTTGGGGTTTGGGGTTTGGGGTTTAGGGTTTGGGGTTTAGGGTTTAGGGTTTAGGGTTTAGCCTACGACTTAGAATGAACAAATGGCCCCCAAATTCGGTGTTTGGGGAGATTCTGGACTTGGGTCTGGATGGCCTTGGTTTCGCGCGCCAGAGGTCCACGAAAACCAACTGCAGGAGCGAGCCGATGTCTGGGTTCTTCACAGAGGGTCATGGCCGAGGCCGCTCAAGAGCCAACGGAGAAACCTCTCGTTTTGACCGACGAACTCAACGTCCACATGCAGCGCGCCCTGAGTCCTTCAAGCAGGGTTTCAGCAGACTTGTAGAATCCTACATGGAAATCTGTGGCCTTCCAGCGCTCTGATGGTGCTATCTGCTATCTACACGAGCACTGAACCATTCGAGCCGGAAGCCCCTTGCACGCGCGAGGAGGAAGACGCAGAGATCGTGCAGCTGTCTACCGTCGTGTGTCTTGGCCGGAGGATGCTGATACCTTCCTGAACAGTGGACAGTTTCGTGCTCAAGTCCAGGAACCTAGACCTGCTTACTTAAAGGATGAGTGCCGTCGACGGCATCTACGCTGCCACGGTCAAGTTAGGCGCCCGCGGCAGGTTTTTGAGGAGTTGAGAAGTGGACATTGTCAGCGCGCTGAAGGGCAGGTACTATAGGGGTCGGAATAATTACGAATGGTCCCTCTGTAACTATACTATAAGAACCCCCAAAACTATATTCGAATTATTTAAGGCCACCAAATTCTACGAAAGTGTCATGGGGGGTGCAGGTCCAGACACCTTCGGTTCAAGACATGGCTTCAATTGCTTAGATGCGCAGATCGGTTTCGGGGGCCCGATGGCGCGGAACATACCCAAATAGCGTCTGGAATTTAGATCGGCCCCGTAAGCAGCAACTGAACCCCAAACTCTGCCAATAGTACCTGCTATTTGAGGGCGCATGCCCATTTTTAGGGGGTTCTCACCTGCTGTTTATCAGGGTTCGGGAGGCATGGGTAAACCCTAAACCCTAAGCCCAAAAGCTGAACGCCCAGAAGCCCTAAACCCCAAAAGGCCCAAGACTTGCTTGGTTAGCAGGATGAGGGAATTCGGGCCCTGAAAATGCCCTTTTAGGGATTTAAAAGAGTGCCTCATTCCCCCATTCCCTACTAACCCTAAACCCTAAACCCTAAACCTTAAACCCTAAACCCGAAACCACACTAAGCCCGAACAGGGGACTTCCCCCCCGACCCGGGCCACGCAGCCGGTCGGCGCTTGATTGGCGGCGTCGTCAGGGGCCGTGACCCCCCAGCTCGCATCGGCAGCTCGGCTGGTTTAGGGTCTAGGCTGGGGTTTAGGGTTTAGAGTTTAGGGTTTAGGGTTTCGGGTTTAGGGTTTAGGGTTTAGGGGGTTGAGGGTTCTGGGGCTTGAGGGTGTAGGTCTAGGGTTTAGGGTTGGAGGGGTTGAGGGTTTGAGGGGTGGAGGGTCTCTGGTGTGGCTTTCAGTGCAGTTGAGTAGAAAAAGAAAGTTTAGGGTCTAGCCTTCAAACGCGAAATATCGACAACCGGCCGCTAAGATCAGGTTTGGGGAAATTTGCGCCCCATGAGCCATTTAGGGTTTTGCTTCGGGGGTTTAGGGTTTAAACCTTCGCTCTGCCAAGGGTCCAAATATAGGAGCCCGACTAGGTGCCAATTATACATATCTTCCCTATTGCATACATACATACATCCATACATACATACATTAGCTTAGATGAGTCTCAGAAGCCCGGACAGGTTCGCTTGTTTCCCTCTTGTCAGCGGGCTGGGTTTGTTTCACTGCAAGCATGACTGCCCCCCCCCCCCTCCGCCCCCCGGCTTTCTTTCCCGGCCCAAGCCTTGAGCCTTAAGTAAATCCCCCGCATCCCCCCCCCCCTTCCCCCCTTCCCCCCCTCAAAGGAATAGAAGCGCTTGTATCATGCATGGCAAGAAGGCCTTAAGCTGGAGAAGGGCGGCGAAGCCAGTTTCATCTACAAGAAGCACCCCTTCGACCGAGGAGGGGGGCAGGGGCGGGGGTTAAGGGTTTAGGGCGGGTGTGTTTGCTGGAGAGGCGTGCTTTGGGGGACGTCTCGTATCTGTCTGCATTCTCATTCTCATTGTGAGCCGCCGCAAAAAAAAAGATGAGGCTTTTAATACAACGCATGATAGTCACAAACGCGGAAACTCACCCTCACCCTGAACCCTAAACCCGAAACCAAACAGCCCTCCTGAACCCGAAGCCCTAAACGCGAAACTCATCCCTGCAATGCGATTCGCCCAGCTCTGCTGAGTGCACGAAACCCGAAACCCCTCTCATGAGCTAAAGCCGGAAATAGCCAGCTGAGTTCTCGTGATGTAGTATCACCCATCGTGTCACCCGAAGTAGCAAGGCCTGCTTGATGGTAGATGTTAGTATCGAAGAGTGCCGGCCCTAAATTTGGGTCCCCTGTTATACAACCCTTACATACACTATACATATTGAGACGTAGGGGGCCACTTGAGCTTTGAGGGATTCTGCTACCCCCCCCCCCCTCCCTTTTTGGGGTCGACACCACTCCACGCCATCTCTCTCTGTAAATTGACCAAGACTCGGCAAAACGAGTGGAGAGTGTTAGGGTTTCGGGTTTAGGACTTGGGGGTTTAGGGTTTAGAGAACTACCCTAGAGTCCATCACAGGCCATTGTGCGCCGCCGTCGGGTGGCCACTGGGTGCGTGCCACGGGCACTTGGTCATTTGGGCAGCAGTCAATGTGGATCCTTTGCTCCCAAACCCTAAACCCTAGACCCTAAACCCTAAACCCTAAACCCTAAACCCTAAACCCTAAACCCTAAACCCTAAACCCTAAACCCTAAACCCTAAACCCTAAACCCTGCCACCGACCCGGACAGAATCCTTGCCTGCTTCAGCCAGTGCGAGAGTCGAAACTCTAAACCCTAAGCCCTAAACCCTAAACCCTAAACCCTAAACCCTAAACCCTAAGTTTCGTGGAGAGGCAAGCTCTTCACATGTTGTGCACGCGCGCTGAGGACGTTCAGTGTCCCTGGAATACAGGAAGCTTGGCGGCACGGAGCGGGCGCGCTGGGCCAAATGTGGCGTAAAGAACCCACTTGTTGGTTAGGGTTTAGGGTTTAGGGTTTAGGGTTTAGGGTTTAGGGTTTAGGGTTTAGGGTTTAGGGTTTAGGGTTTAGGGTTTAGGGTTTAGGTTTAGGGTGTAGGGTTAAGGGATAAGGCATAAGGGTTCAGGGGTTTAGGGTTGCTAGTTGGATAATTTGGGATAGCTCGCGATGCCCTGGTGAGTTTGAGTTTGCCCAGATCCGCAGGAAGCCGCTATAAGCAGCAGGAGCGAAGAACGAAAGCCCTAAACCCTAAACCCTAAACCCTAAACCCTAAACCCTGAACCCTAACACCCTAAGACCCAAAGACCCAAAAAGCCTACAGCCTCCCACACCCTAAGCCACGAAAGCCCTGAACCCCGGGCACCTCTAGGGTTTGTGGTACTTTACTGTAACTTTAGATCCTTACCTTTTTTGGGTTTATTGGGTTTCTGATTAAGGCAGCTAAAAGTTTAATTTATAGCTACCCTCCTGAGTGCAGCCAAGTAGGGTTTCGGGGTTTATGGTTTAGGCCCCCCAGAAGCAGGATTAGAGCATCTGCGGGTGGTGTATCATACTAGGGGTACCCATGTTCCGCTGGAGATCCCTTAGACTCTGAGGTGGTTTTGACGGACGGCAGGGAAGGCCATTTTCAGCGAGGCCGGCGTCCAGCGGCAGTTCCGGGGTTTTTGGGGTTTGGGGGGCTTTGGCTTTCGGGTGGGTTCAGGGTTTAGGGTTCAGATATTACAAAGGGGCGCCTTCACGGGCATCAAAGAGAGCTTCGCAAAAGCATGGGCAAGGGGTGCTCGGCGAGGGAGTCGTTGGTGACACTGAAGGCGCCCTTTCTAACAGTAACACTTGAACCCTGAACCCTCAGCCCTTAACCCTAAACCCTAAGCCTCCAGCCCCTAAATCTCAGCTATGGAGCCAGGCGTATCCTCAGAGGATGGTCGCTTCCGACAAGAGCAGGCCCCTGCTTGCTTTTGAGACCCTAAACCCTGAACCCTAAACCCTAAACCCTATAACCCGAAAACGTCAGTCCCCGCAGAGGCCCTCTCGAGTGCCTGCTACTGGGGTTTAGGGCGTGGGGTTCAGATGTACTGCTGCCCACAACTGCCCCCCAAAGAGTTCAATATCCATTAACTAGGGAATATTGCTTAATTTATATAGGGATCCTGAATAATGATTTACGGTATATTGCTTAGTTAAGGGGTATTGGGCTCTTTGGGCCTGTCTGTCCTCTTACCCCAAGAAATGCCGTTCACTACGGCCCGACGAACGCTTTTAGAATGCTTTTTCAAGCTTCCATCTTCGGACCCTAAGCCCTAAACCCTAAGCCCTAAGCCCTAAACCCTAAGCCCTAAACCCTAAACCCTAAACCCTAAACCCCAAACCCTAAACCCTAAACCCCGCGCGGGGATTGCGCCTTCCGAGACCCGCGTGCTGCAGGTCATCCTCTTGGCCATGGTGAAGGCCGTCGGGGGGATGACAGGGTTTAGGGTTTAGGGTTTAGGGTTTAGGGTTTAGGTTTAGGGGTTTAGGGGGTTTGGGTTTAGGGTTTAGGGTTTAGGGTTTAGGGTTTAGGGTTTAGGGTTTAGGGTTTAGGGTTTAGGGTTACAGGCCCTAGATCCCCCAGAGCGCCGAATACTCCTTAACTTGTAAAGGGATGCTGAACATGATTTAAGGGCTCTTCCTGAATTAAGGGGTGGTGGTGGGCCCTTTGTGATCCTAAGCCCTCAGCCCACGCAGCCGAAATATACCTTAACCTATAAAGGGGTCCTTAATATGATTTAAGGACTATTCCGTAGTTAAGGGGTAGTGGGTGGGCTCTTTGGGCCTAAGTCCAAAGCCCACGCAGCAGAAATCCTCACCTGGTCTGTCCGAGAGAGTCTGGGCTGAGAGTCTGGGGATGCGAAGCATGGCCCGGCTTCCTGAAAAAAGGCCGAGCCCTGGATCCTAAACGTTTAGGGTCTGTGCAGGAGCCCAGCAAACCCTAAACCCTAAACCCTAAACCCTGAAAACCCTAAACCCTAAACCCTAAACCTCAAACCCCAAACCCTAAACCCTAAACCCCGAACTCTGACTAAGAAGCCCGAGACGGCTTGCACGCATCTGTTCTCCAGGGTGAGGTGCCGGATCAGCCTGAGAAATCAGGGCCCCCCAAAACCCAAAAGCTTCACCCTAACCTTGAACAGCTTATGTTGTAGGGTTTATCTGATTGAACTTCGAAGACTTGTGAAGGATTCACTAGCTCGCTTAGTGGAGATTGTGAAGGACTCGTGGCTTGAGGAAGTGTGGGCTCTCAGCCAGGAGGGCTGAGGGCCGGTAGTGCTGCAAGTTGTCTGGCTGAGTGGCTCCCCCAGTCCAGATTCAAAAAAAAGGGCTTGGGGTTTATCACAATGGCAAGGGTGCATGTAACTCCAACATGCTGTAGTCACTGTAGTCCTGATGAAGGGAGCCCCACAAGTGCTAGTTCTTCCAACACTTCTCTGGAGACCTGCGAAACGCGCTTGTGAGGAGGGCCAGTTCGACGTCGTCCGGAGTGACGGTCGCCATCCAGGTGAGAGTCGGGGGCAGACGGACTTGTGCACGAAACACGAGCAGTAGGCTCTGCTGTTGCTGTTGGAGTCCGAAGTAGGGTCTCCCGCTGTGGCAAGGGTAGTTCATTAAAGAGCTCCCCTTAAGCCTAAAGCCTTCAATGTCGAGTTCCATGCCTGCGCCCTGAAGCTCTTGCTGAAAGCAGTGCGCGCCCTCTTGGGTTGTTCATCTCTTGCAAAGCGCTGATTCACACGGTCGTCGGGCTGATGTGGTGAAGAATCTCTTCAGCATATATATATCCCAAAACGCAACGTCCGCACACGTTGGGTGTGAGCGTCGACCTCAACCCTAAGCCCTCTGAGGAGTGCTGGGTGAAAGCACAGACTTTCTCGCCTGGCTTGTCAGAGATCTGCGCGACTGAGCCCTGAGCGTAAATGCACCCTAACCCCTGGCCCTAAACCCTTAACTCTAAACCCTAAACCCTAAACCCTAAACCCTAAACCCAAAACCCCGGCGAGGTGGCTCGCGAACTCCCACGGTGCCGGCGGGCACCGCTTTGGTTAAGCAGGCGCCGGTGCCCTGAGCTATGCTTGAAGGTGCATGGTACTTATTAAATCAATTATAACTTATAACTGTACTTATAGCTGTACTTATAGCTGTACTTATTAACCAATTATAACTTATAACTGTACTCATAGCTGTACTTCTAAGCCCCTTAAGTGCCCTAATATAGTGATAACTTGGGTTATAAGTAGAGTTATCATTGGTTTCCCAAGTACCATGAGCCTCCAAGTAGTGCATGTTTGGGGCTTCATAACCGGGACCTCTTGGGATGTTCCCCCGAAAACTAACAGTCCAGAATCGGGATGAAAATAGGGCGTGCTAGAACCCCCATGAAGGACTGTTAGTATAAGCGGGAACATCCCAAACAGGGACTTTCAAACGGGACCCCATAAACAAGAAGGGTTCCCTTCCAATTTCTGGCGGGACCTAGGCAAGGGCTTGGAGATTTTTCCCTGGGCGCCCGAGTGCCCATGTGCATGCTGCATGGCACTGCTTTGAGATCGGGGTCGTAGATACCCTAAACCCCCTAAACCCTAAACCCTAAACCCTAAACCTTTTTCCCCTAAACCCTAAACCCTAAACCCTAAACCCTACCTAAACCCTAAACCCTAAACCCTAAAGCCTAAAACCCTAAACCCTAAACCCTAAACCCTAAACCCTAGACCCTAGACCCTAGACCCTAAACCCTACGCTGCCTAAGTAGAAAAAGACCCTGCCACGATGGCTGAGGAGGCTGCGGACGGGGCGGCGCCGGACCTACCTTGAAGAACTGCAGAATGCACACTTTACAATACTGTTGGTTCGTAGGTACCCGATGTAATCACTTGCAGGGTATATATCGGGGGGTTTAGGGTACCTCGTTCCCTCATTCCCTACGAGCCAACGGTAAGAATGAAGAGATGTTTCAGATCTTCATGAAGGCCATGCAGTGCACCAGTGCATCTGGAGGAGACAGACTGTGGAAAGTGGCTAATCTCAAAACTACCCTATCCTGGGTGCAAGCATGAAGCGGGGGGAGTATCGCGAGTCGCGAAAGGGGGTTTCTGGCTTCAACGCGTGGCAATTACTCGTTCCTTCTTTCCCTTCCTCCTCCTCCTCCTCCTCCTCCGGCTCGTACGGGTCCCGAGAAGAACTCATCAGACAAGCTGAGGCCCACAAACTGGAGACGAGATTCTTTTGGGACCAAATAACCTGGGCATCGGCCCACCAAGAAAATGGGATGAGCACTAGTCACTAAACGACCACGACACCGATGGTTCTGTGGGACAGCAATTCAGGAATGAACTGAAGCTTAGATATATTATACCATGTCATGTTATATCATATGATATCATGTTACGTCATGGTTTGCTGTGTTCTATGTACTATGCTGCTATAATAGGTGGAGTCCGAATCCACTGAGGCGATTGATTTCGACCGGCTGTTCGGCAGAGCACTCTGACGTCTCTCTCCAAAGTTTGCTGACTTCCAATGCCCCCAGAACCCACAACCGTCTCGATAGAAAACTCCCAGTTCCATGACGTAGAGCAGCAACAACCCTAAACCCAAAACCCTAAACCCTGTCGCAGCTCCTCACTGCTGACAACAACCATTCGAAACACAGTCGGCACAGCCCCGCGTAGAAACGCGAGCTGCTGGTAGCTGTTTCCCAGCAGCTGGCTAATGGGCCAGTTGGCTTCATTAGGCTGGTGGTTTACCGCAAATGCGGTCGGATGGCATTTGGGGGTTGATCCTCAAACCTTAAGAACTCGAAGGCCATGGAGACAAAAGCAGAACTCATGAATGTCGTAGCTTGGACCAGCCCCCTTTGGCTGCCCTTGTAATGCGGAAGAGCAATCAGCAGGATGTATGCAGCGGATGTGAGTCATGGCGCCGCAGAGTATGATTGTATGGATAGGCCTTGCTTAGAAGCCGGCATTTTAGGGTAGGGGTTTAGGGTTGCGAAAAGGGTACTCATCGTTCCGAGTGTGTTTAGAAGAGGGTGCCGTTCGAGGGTGAGAGTCGATGAACTCTTCTCTCTGGCGTGGGCCTCAGAGCAGGCTTGGATCCTCGACAGCCCGCTGTAGAAAAGGGGGGGTAGGACTGGCCCGACTGGTTCTCAATGGGGCGAAAGCCCCATAGCTCAACAAAGGCCCGTCAAGCCCGAAGCTGTTAGCCCCTTTTCAGGGGCCCTAAACCCTAAACCCTAAACCCTAAACCCTAAACCCTAAACGCTAAACCCTAAACCCTAAACCCTAAACCCTAAACCCTAAACCCTAAACAGGGGCCTGGGCTCCTGGTGGCATTTGGAGCCCTTTCGCCTTGCCCTCCGCTGCTCGAACCGCCGGGCCGCTGGCGAGGCCAACTGTTCACGGGGTTTAGGGTTTAGGGTTTAGGGTTTAGGGTTTAGGGATTAGGGTTAGGGTTTAGGGTTGAAGGGGGATTAGGGTTGAGGTGTCGGGTTTTTGGGGTTTGGGGCTGAGGGGTTTGGGGTTTTGGGGGGGTTAGGGCTGAGAGGTTTGGGTTTCGGGTTTGGGGTTTCGGGTTTGGGGGGTTGGGGTTGAGGGGTTTTAGGGTTGAGGGGGTTTAGGGTCGAGGGGGTTTAGGGTTTGGTGTTCAGCGTTTAAAACTAGGGACACAGCAAGCTTGTTAAAAAAAGGGGGTTCGGGTTGAGGGTTGCGGGTGCAAGGGTTCGGAGCCTATGGGTTTAAGGCTTGAGGGTGTTGTTGTTGGGCAACAAAGCCTGAGGGCTAGCTCACAGTTTAAGGTGCCGAAAGGGTTTGTTGTTGGGTTGTCGGACTCTGGGGTTGAACTTTGGTGGGCCTGGGGCTCTTTCAGTGGGCTTCAGGGTACTTTGGCCGAAATGCGGGTTGAGATTTCAAGGGTCATAGGGGTTAGGGCTTAGTGTCCAGCAAGCCCGAGCATGAATCGCTCAGCCTAAGCTCTGAATCTCTAATCCTTAAACCCACCCCCCGAGTCCCCCAAAGCCACAGTGAACTAGGTGTGCTGCTTGAGAGCTCCATTCCGCATGTGCGAGGACCCAGAGCCTTTCCCCCACCTTTTTTTGGCGTTTCGGTTCCCTTGCAAGCCCCTTAACCAACAAGTACCTCGTGAGTCCTGTGTCATCGTTCATGTTGTAGACACTAGTTGTTCTCTGCCTAGGCACCTCCTTTGCACACCCAGACTCGGGGCTCGGAGAGGTCGTACATCACAAGGTAAGTGTGCTGAGACCAACCTTTTGCATTCTTCCCTTCTTTTTTGCGCCCAATACAAGGGCTTCTGGCTCCGAAATGATTTTCGGTCCTAAACTTGTGACTTCAACTTTTAGGGACCCTTGCAAAAAGGGGTCAAAGGGATGGTGCTGAGTCTGATGTGCAATCCCGATGTTCTGGCTCCGGGGATGCGCTGGAAGCTTAGGGTTTAGGGTTTAGGGTTTAGGGTTCCCACAAGCGGCCTCAGTGCAGGTGATGAGCGCAGCAGGCACCCTCTTCCGGAAGCCCGAGCAGCCCGGCTTTTTGGAGACTCCCAGAAGTCCTGGGTTTAGGGTTTAGGGTTTAGGGTTTAAGGTTTGGGTTTAGGGTTGCCAGACCAAATTCCCTGATCCCTAACTCCAGAGCGGGTCCTGATTCAAAGAAATGTCACAGCCCTTCCGAGAATTGGGCCTGGCAGTTTTCCAGCACCTCCTAAGCTGTTGAGGCCTGGGAAGCAGGCACGCAAATTGCATCCTAGCCTCTAATCTCGCGGACCCGAACTGTATCCTCAGCTCTCCCTAGATGGGGTCCAGGCCCTCGTGTTCTTCCCAAGCCTGCTGGAACTGCGACCCTGAACCCCTTGTTGTGTATGCTCCAGAACTTATTGCCCTCAAACCATCCCAATCGCTACCATCCCATCGGCTCAGGCCACGGCCGCTCTGAAGCCTTAGAACCCCTCAACCCTGAAGCCCCAGAAGCCCCAGCCAAATACCACTTCATCAAGGAACATGCCTGAAACGATCAACTTGTTGTACAGTATCTTTCCGCATGTTCATGTAGACGTGTTGTTGTTTCTTGTGAAACTGGTTCTGGTTCTTATGAGTTGGTGATTCTTACACAAGCGTAGATAAGCTATAGATACTGTACATGAGCCATCTATCTATGCGGGTAGTTCTCTAATTAGGTCCCTTTTCGGGTACCTCAATTAGTTGGGGCCACCTCATAATAGTAACGCCAAAAGGGGCCATGTCAAACTCATAACAATGAGTTCTGCTAAATAAATCGAGTGTTCTCTGCGAATTCAGGCTCCGCCCCCTGCACGGCTCCTGGCGTCTCGACCTTCGCGGGACGGAGCGGATGTCTTTCCCGTGTCCGGGCGAGCGTTCTGGTGGGATTCGCAGGATTGAAACACCTAGCTGGGGAATTGGTGATCGAAACTTTTGACAGAGCAAATTAAAACTGTGTTCTTTGATTCAGGGTCTCGGTCTCGGGCTTCATGAAAGCTTTATGTCTTGAGGGCGTGAGGCGAAGAACCCTGCCCCCATGCCACTCAATGCCCTAGTGCACCAAAAAAAACCAAGTCCGAAACTCCGCAAACTCCGTAAGCGCCGTAAACTCTGTCAAGGTCCGTGAGCTCCGTAAACTACACAGACCCTCAATGCGAAAGCCCCCAAGACCTGGGAACTGAGGATGCAGCTGCCAGATGGCTACGAGCCCTATGCGGGGTCGGAGGCGACTCGGAGATGAAGTCGCTCTTGACATCCCTCTCCCCCTTGAGCTCCCATAACTCGCTCACGTTTGCTCAAGGTTGGCTCTCTTCCTTTCATGCCCCCTCAATGCGAGGGACCCTGGCCCTAGACCCCAAACCATCTTAAGCCTGAAGCCCCAAACCCCAAACCATCCTAAGTTCGAAGCCCCAAGCCCTAAACCATCCTAAGTCCGAGGCCCCAAGCCCTAAGCCATCCTGAGCCCCAAGCCCTATAAAACCCCAGACCATCCTAAGCCTGAAGCCCAAAGCAACAGACCGCAAGGGTTTCAGTCCTGTCAGGACTGGGTGCACGAGCTCGTGAACCATGCGTCTCGGCTAGCAGGCAAGTGGATCCTTAATCGAGGCGTCGGAATAATTACTAATAATAGTCCCTTGTGGTCCCTTTGTAAGTATACTACAGTAAACCCCCAGCCCTATTCTAGTTATTCAGACCCCTATATTAGGTCTCTAAGGGTTTCTGGCTTTTGGGTCTTCTCTTTCGTGATTATGAAGCAAGGTTTAAGATGAGCTTCTACACCCAGATACGATGCGTAGGGCATGTAGTGTTTGGTGGTGGTGGCCATCCGAAGCTGGGTTACTCAAGCCCGAACTAAGAACCCTAAACCCCCCTAAAAACCCATAAACCCTCAACAGTACACCCAAAAGCCCTCCCTTCCCAGAGCCCCTCAAGCAGGCCGGAGAAGGAGCCACGCCTCTCACCTTTGCTCGGCTTGTCTCGGCTGGGCTACGCAGTTGCTAGTGAGCGCAGAAGCCACGCCATCGTACGAAAGGGAGAACGCACCTGTCCTGACACCCTTAAACCCTAAACCCTACACCCGAAACCCTAAACCCTAAACCCTAAACCCTAAACCCAAAGCCCTTTGCAGAGCCAGGCCCGTAACCCAGTCACACGCCGAAGCAAAGAACTCAGGACCTGCAGCGCAGCCGTCGCAAAAGCGAGCAGTTTGCCCGTGCGCTGCGCGGGTAGGGCGGCGCAAAAAGCCTGAGCATGCTTGTGGAGAACAACTTGGACCCAGAGTAGGCCCTTCTTCCCACCTTTATTTTTTGAAAGGGTTTCGGTTTACCCTTTTTGTTCCTAGGTTACTCCTGGGTCTAGACAAGGTTTAGGACCCGGCTGTCTGACATGACATGGATGTCAAGAAGTCCAACCATAGAAAGTCACGAAGAGGTACGGCTAAGGTGCCTCTGATGGGCCCTATGCTTATTAGCCGCAGCTTGCCTTGGGAACCGCAGTGGTGGACCCCTAGCCCTTATGAATGCCCTAAAGGCCCTAGACCCTTGAAACCCTGCACCATCATCACAGATGCTTGGCACACCTCAGCCTCTGCAGCCCTAAAGCCCAACCAAATACCCCCAAACACCCCCAAAACGCGCCCACATACCCCCAAATAAAGACTTGAAGGAGCCCAAATCTCCCAAACACCCCAAGCACCCCAAAACCCCTTCATCCCCAAAGACCCCCAAAGACCCCCGAGGAGCCCCAAATTTTCTGAAAGACCCCAACTACCCCAAATCCCTGCATACCCAAGAGCCTCCCCCAATCCGCTCCCAGGCGCAGCTGCTGCAGACTGCGCAGCTGCAGGCCCAACTGCAGGCATGGCCTCTCCAAGTCCCCCTATAAGGCCCGAAGGCCCTCAGGCCCTCAGGCCTTAAGACCTGAAGGGTTTAGGGTTTAGGGTTTGGGGTTTGGGTTTGGGGTTTAGGGTTTAGGGCTTAGGGTTTAGGGTTTAGGGTTTGGGGTTTAGGGCTTAGGGCTTCAAGATCCCAAACCTGTAAGCACACATGTGGAGACGCGTCTTGCCAGGCTCAGGCCCAGCTTCGGGCGCTCTACATGCAGCAGGCGAAAGTCGCGGCCCTTGAACTAGTTCGGGTTCATGAATGTCAGGGTTTCGGGGTTTCTGGTTCAATGTTGGTTGTATATGCTCATTGTGATGATTATGATTATCCTGGCCCGCCGGCATATCCAGTTATATCTATACAAATATGAACCCTAAGCCAGGTCTTTCGAGATTGACGCGTGGGTTTGGGCGCGTGCCTTGTGCTTGGGAGGGTTTGCTTCGTCAAGGGGACGGGGTTGCCCAGGCGGCCAAGATTTGGCTCTCCAGCAAGGAAGCCGCATGTGCCGCAGCTAGCCCTGCCAGCAGCAAGAGCCCTGCAACCTGAACTTGCTTTGCTGCTGTTGCGACCACACCACCAACACCACCCGAAAGTAGAGAACCAACCCCCCAGCCAGGCCCAAAACCCAGGCTGCCAGAGGGGCCCGAAATCCGAACCCTAAGCCCCGAAGCCCTGTAAGCCCTAAGCCCCAAACGCCGCGAAACTCCCGAACCCTAAACCCAAAACCTCAGGAGACCCTCAACCCTGCCTTCCGAGGCTCCGGCCCCGCCGGCGCCGACCGCCAAGGCGCCGGTGACGCCGGCGCCACCGCGCGCCTGGGGGGTGCGGGGCTCGTCATTTTTTGTTTGTTTGTTTGTTTGTTTGTGTGTGTGTGTGTGTGTGTGTGCGCGCATGTGTGTGCAAGCGTGCTTTGCATCTTCTGCCTGGATGCATATGTTTGAATTTCATCTTTGGTTCATGTATGCATCCATGAATGCATTTCTTAGTGCCAATTCGCGGAGTCCATCTCTTGTGGTTGGACCGATCCTCAAATAAGGCAACGTGGTGTGATGTGTTGATACACACACACACACACATGAGAAGCATTTAAATGCAAGTGCAAAGATACAGAAGTAACAAGCCAATACACGAATAACAAGAATGTATGTCTGTATCTGCAGGTTGACAAAAGAAGTAAGCACATAGATACATGCACACACACAGATATCAGAGAGATGAGTATATAGATATAGGTATAGTTTCGGTACGGATAGATACACATGCATATTCCACATATGTAATATGCACACACACACACACATATATATATATATATATATATACATACACATATATACATATCTGTGTGTGTGTGTCCACATTATATATGTGTATGTATGTATGTACGTACGTACGTACGTATATTCATATCTGTGTGTGTGCAGTAGACATGATCTGGTGTGGACCTTCGCGCCTCTGGCAGGGCAAAGGCCACCACGCGCCGCCCAGACCAGGGCAGCGGCCCCTCAGCGTGTGCGGGCTCAGAGGAGCTTTGGGTTTAGGGTTTAGGGTTTAGGATTTAGGATTTAGGGTTTAGGGTCTCTTCCGGGCGGATGCACAGAAGCCTGCTGCAGAAGGGTTTAGGGGCTTAGGGCTTTGCAGGATTTTCAGGGTTCTCGCGAAATGTGTGCCAAGGGTTCAAGGGGTTTGAGAGTAACAATCGTAGGTACCCCTTCCAATAAAGGAAGATGTGCGAAGTGTTGGGTCCTATTCGGGGTTTGGGGGTTGCATGTGCAAGTGATAATTGTCGGGGGTCCCTCTTCGTCTACAGCGATCCGGATGCCAGGAAGGAAAGAGGGTTAAGGGTTTAGAAGAAAGGGCTAAGCATGTTCCGAATGATGGCAAGCGATCGCTTTGATTTCGGCCTCAGGCAAGCAGCTTACACGGATTTGAACGTTTAAGTCGAGGTAGCACCCTAGTGGCCCAGACTCGCTGCACCCAAGCATGGAGTGGGGAGTGGCTCGGCAACTTTTGGAATTCAACCCTGCTGCCCTTGGAATGTTGGTGAGCAGGTAGGGTTGAAACATGTCAAGCAGGTTTCTAGGGGGCAAGCCTTCTAAGGAGCTGTGGTTGGACCTCCTGATTCACTTCTCCGACTTGTGCATCGGCGGCACCTTCGTCGTCGTGTTCCTGAAGCTGCGAAAAAGCAGATCAGCAGCCGGATTGTCCTTGCAGACCCTGGCGACTGTAGTTGGCGCGAGGGTCCTCCACTTGCTGAGCTGCTTGGCATGGGTTTAGCAGTTTAGCCTTCTGTCCATACCCTTCGGTTCAGAAAGCCTCGGTTGCTTTCGCGCTTTGCGCTGCATGCGGGCTTAAGTCTGAGGCCACTACATTGGGCTCCACTATCGCCCGAATGTGCTTCCGTGGCTGTTATACCCGGCCATTGATGTGGCAAGCGCTTGCATAGGCTGCGCTTTGCTTGTATCCTTCCTCTTCTACTACTACCCAAGCTACGAGAAGGAGAAGGACAACTTCGGCATACACATCTTCGAGCGGTTTGATCTTCTGCCGAAGAACAGCCCGCTGAAGACCAGTCCCGTGGTAGCGGCAAGCTTCCTCTATGCCGTTGTGGCGGTTCTGGCATTGATGTGGTATTTCGTGCGAAGATCCCAGCACGGCTTCTGGGTCAGCTATTTTTGTTGCTACTATGAGGCTATGGGTGCAGTAGCGCTGATACCGCAGCTGTGGATGTTCCACCAGGACAAGCGGGTTTCGCCCCTGCTGTCTTACTTTGTGGTGCTCACGGCCCTGAACCGCTTCTTCACGCTTTGCTTTTGGATTTGCTACCCGCGCGTCTTCCTCTGGCGGTATCCCGACAACCGCGGAGTTCAGATGGCGTCAGAGACGATGCACCTTGGAGATGCTTGGGAATATTCCTTTAACATTTGAGCAAGTAATGTACTTCCTAAGAAACTTGTAATTTTTGCTAGGGCTCCAAGCTTCTAGGAACATCCTGATCCTCTCGGACTTCCTCTTCTACTGGGCCCGCTCCAAGCTTCGAGGTGACACAGAGATAATTATTGGCGATGGAATGATGGTGTGAAGAGCGCACCTGTCAACACATTGGTTGCTTTAGGAAAAATGTCCAGGATCGTCCCCATGCTCACTTGCATCGAGCCGACAGCGCACTCACACTCTGGCAACTAAGGTAAAGCGGCAAGTGTGCTGAAGGTAGTGTGATGCTTGCATGTATTGTGCCTTCTGGCTCTCAAGAGTTAGGTTAAAGAACAGTAGATAGTTTCCTGTGCCGGTCCCAAAACCGACTTGACCCAAACGATGCAGCTTGGGGAGCTGTGGTTGGACCTCCTGATTCACTTCTCCGACTTGTGCATCGGCGGCACCTTCGTCGTCGTGTTCCTGAAGCTGCGAAAAAGCAGATCAGCAGCCGGATTGTCCTTGCAGACCCTGGCGACTGTCGTTGGCGCGAGGGTCCTCCACTTGCTGAGCTGCTTGGCATGGGTTTGGCAGTTTAGCCTTCTGTCCATACCCTTCGGTTCAGAAAGCCTCGGCGGCTTTCGCGCTTTGCGCTGCATGCGTGCTTAAGTCTGAGGCCACTACATTGGGCTCCACTATCGCCCGAATGTGCTTCCGTGGCTGCTATACCCGGCCATTGATGTGGCAAGCGCTTGCATAGGCTGCGCTTTGCTTGGATCCTTCCTCTTCTACTACTACCCAAGCTACGAGAAGGAGAAGGACAACTTCGGCATACACATCTTCGAGCGGTTTGATCTTCTGCCGAAGAACAGCCCGCTGAAGACCAGTCCCGTGGTAGCGGCAAGCTTCCTCTATGCCGTTGTGGCGGTTCTGGCATTGATGTGGTATTTCGTGCGAAGATCCCAGCACGGCTTCTGGGTCAGCTATTTTTGTTGCTACTATGAGGCTATGGGTGCAGTAGCGCTGATACCGCAGCTGTGGATGTTCCACCAGGACAAGCGGGTTTCGCCCCTGCTGTCTTACTTTGTGGTGCTCACGGCCCTGAACCGCTTCTTCACGCTTTGCTTTTGGATTTGCTACCCGCGCGTCTTCCTCTGGCGGTATCCCGACAACCGCGGAGTTCAGATGGCGTCAGAGACGATGCACCTTGGGGATACTTGGGAATATTTTTAAAATTTTGAGCCATTAATGTGCTTCCTAAGAAACCTGTATTTGTTGCTCGGGCTCCAAGCTTCTAGGAACATCCTGATCCTCTCGGACTTCCTCTTCTACTGGGCCCGCTCCAAGCTTCGAGGTGATTCCGAAGTGATCATAGGCCAGCAGGGGTTGGCTGAAATCCCCCCCACCCCCCGGGGTTTAGGGTTTAAAGGTTTAGGGTTTAGGGTTTAGGGTTTAGGGTTTAGGGTTTGGGGTCCCCCCCCCCCTTTACACAAAGAAGGTGTGAAGCCCCGTGTGTCTCTTCGGACTTGCCAGCTTTGGGGCTTTAGGGTCCAGAGACCTGGATGCGGAGGGTTCAGGGTCTGCGCGCTCTGGGACATACCCCTTGGGGTCAAATAGGACTTCATATGCATGAGCTCACTTCTAGGTTTGGCTCCCCGGGCTTCTCTAGCGCCCTCCAACCACAGGTAGCATGACGGGTTCATAACACAGGAACCGGAATGATTGCCAGTACTAGGCGTTTATAACCCCCGGTACAAGTATGCTTGATGCCACCCGACAGCTCCCGCATTCTTCGAACGTACAAACTGATCTCGTTTCACCATAAACGCAGCAGACTTGCGTCCCGCTTTGCCCTGAAGCCCATTCTAGTTCAAACCCCCCCGCATATTGGGCTGATGCAGACGAGTACTTAGGTTCTGCAAGAAGGGTGCTATTGCCTGCAACAACCCTGGTGCAGGTGATGGAGCGCAGATGGTGTGAGCTGCTTGAGAGACCTAGGGGTAGACCATGAGTCTTCCGGGTTTTTTTGCCGCATTGCAGCAGATAGAACTCTTAGCCTCTAAACCCAGCTTGAGCGGAGAGAATGAGTTTTGTGAATGGGGGGCAAGGGGCCCCCCCCCCCGCATGCAATGATGAGGAGCACATGCCTTCGCATCCTTCACATTGTCAGGCTGCCCAGGTTCTTCGATCGCGTTGAAGACCAAAGTGATCCTTTCAGGGCCTTGTGTCAGTGGCCCAAGCATAGCAGGCTTCAGGGTTTAGGAATTAGGGTTTCGGTTATCCCACCAGTCACCAGCCTGGTCACAACATGTCTCACGCGAGGTAGCTGTGAAGCTGGCTCCTCCGCACGATAGATTTCGCCGTGCAGCGGCAGATGATGACCGTCGCAGCAAGAAAAAATCTGGGACATTTGCACAGTTGCTTCCTCTGAGGAAAGTCATGGCGACACCCCCCAAGCCCCAAACCCTGGGGGGCCCTAGCGCTGCAAGCCTAGCAAACCCTAGCCTAGTAGACCCTCTCAAACCCGACTAAAAACCCGACTAACCCTACAAAAGCACTCTGAAACCCCAAGAGAGAGCTCACCCCGAACGCGTTGCCAAGGCCGCCCAGAGGGCCATCCGCGATGGAGACTTTCAGGCCTGAAAGCTGGAAAGGGAAAGTGGAATAGGGTTGAGGGCCCCCTGAAACCTCAACCATGTAGAAACTAGAGAGCGCATATGTGGACCCATGAAGCGTAGGTGTGTCTAGGACTGAGAAAGGGCTTGAGTGCCGCGAGGTCCAGCGACAGGCTGGCCTCAAAGCAGCAGAGAACGTGCAGGAGGCCTGTCGAGGGCTCCGGGCTTTGAGCTGTTGGTGGGGGCATTGCCTAGCCCTCCGCAAGCCTCATGCGGCAGCCCCTGGCACAAGCCCTGCTTATCCACTTAGGCTCAAGCCATCGGCTTCCCATTCCTCGCAGCCCCTTGGCCCTCCAGTCATGTCCCGAGCGCTTAGTCCCTGGTGCGTCTTTGGGCTGCTGCTGCAGAGCTCAGTGGCTGTCGCTGACGTGAAGAGCACCAACATCAAGTTTCACGAGGGCCTCCCTCGTGAGGAGAAATGGAAGTCGAACGGCCACATGGGCATCACGCTCTGGATGACGGGCCTCTCCGGCAGCGGCAAGAGCACCATCAGCGTGGCCCTGGAGCGCGCCCTCGTGGAGATGCAGTCCAAGAGCTACTTTGTGTACCGCTTGGATGGTGACAACTTGCGTTTTGGGCTGAACAGGGATCTTGGCTTCAGCCCCGCAGATCGCAAGGAGAACGTCCGACGCGTCTCGGAGGTGTCCAAGCTCTTCGCAGAGGCCGGGGCCATCGTCATCGCCGGCCTGATCTCGCCCTATGCCGCAGATCGCGACTACGCGCGCGAGGTGCACAAGAATGCCTCTCTGCCCTTCATGGAGGTCTTCGTGGATGCGCCGCTGGCGGCTGTCGAGACTCGAGATCCGAAGGGCCTCTACAAGAAGGCCCGGGAAGGCAAGATCAAGGGCTTCACGGGCATCGACGCTCCCTACGAGAAGCCCGTGAACCCGGAGGTGCACGTCAGAACTGACCAGCTTACAGTGGTTCAGTGCGTGAACGTGATTTTGAAAAAGCTTGACGAGTTCGGCATCCATTTGCAGCAGACCTTCAGGAAGATGGATGAGCCGTCAGGCGACTGTGTGGCCGTGCAGGAGAAGTAGATAGAAGCAGCCTCGGCTTTGGCAAAGCCATGCCGGCGAGCAGCTAACAAGCTCCAGCGACGTGTCGTGCGCCACACGGCACATCACGGCACAACCAGCGAGACCGCAACATCGCAACTCGCACACTTGCGGATGCGATTTCGTAGGTAGTAGCTCACTGACTCACTGCTGCCAGCGCGGCGGGGAGGTGGAAGTTAGTTCATTCCCGCGCTGCGCGCCGGTGACGATAGGCCTGCGCTTGCAGCATATTCGTGTCAAAGCTGCCGATAGGGCAAAAAAAGGTGGGAGAGCTAATTAGTCGCAAGGCTGTGATGAAGGGTGGTGATCGAGCGAGTCTGACTTTGGCTGCTGGACAGTAACGGTTCGCCTGGTTCGTTCGAGTTGCGACAGCCAAGAAAGATAACAAGCCCCCAGAGAGGCTTGTGAAGACGTAGCCCCTGAGTTTGAAGGCGTACGAGCTGGCAACGTGGGCTCAGAAGCAGCTCGCGCGCGCTTCGCAGCAGGTCCCTCCGGTGTCCTGCATCGTCTGCTTTGTTTGTGCTGGTGTGGTTGAGGGTGTAATGTAGGGGGGTCGGAATAATTACTAATAACGTTTTCTTATGGTCCCTTTATAGTTATAGTATAATTTAAGCCCCCAAAATCCTTTTCGAATTATTCAGGCCCCTATATTAGGGTGCTGTAGGGAACTCATGGCCCGACGCTTTCAGGATCTTGGGCGAACCCTATGAATGCAAAAAAAAGTACGCCCGAAGTGTCGCCTCCATATGAGGAACGAAGAGCACCAGTCGCTTGCGACTCCCTCTAGCTCGTTCTGCTTTCAAGCCTCTCCCAAACCCAAAGCCCTGAGCCCGAATGCCGCATCGGTTCAGAGGGATCTGCGTCTCCCGCGCCCATCTCCCGGACATCTCCACGGCCCCTACAGCAAGAGTCCAGCTGAAATAGGGCTTTCGGGTTTAGATCTCGGAGCGGTGCGAGTTGAGGGGGATTTAGGGGGATTCAGAGGGGCAAAGGTAGATGATGTGGGTAGTCACCACGACGTCACGGCCACACACATTCTTGTCCCTGGCCCACCATCTCGGCCGCATGGCCCCACCATCCAGCCATGATTCAGATGGGACTACCGGCCCTACCGCTGCTTTGGCTGCAGTGCAGGGTTTCGGGATGGGATGCCCTCAACGTTATGAGGCCCCCGCAGGGCCTTCGCAACCAAGCCCCAAGCCCCAAGCCCCAAGCCCCAAGCCCCAAGCCCCAAGCCCCAAGCCCCAAGCCCCAAGCCCCAAGCCCCAAGCCCCAAGCCCCAAACCCCAACCCCAACCCCAAACCCCAAACCCCAAACCCCAAACCCCAAACCCCAAACCCCAAACCCTAAACCCTAAACCCTAAACCCTAAACCCTAAACCCTAAACCCTAAACCCTAAACAAGAAGAAGTCCGCAAGGAAGCTCCTCTGGGAGTGCTACGGGTGCCCCGAGGGCGTGTTCCCTCCAGACCGATGCTTGCAGCTCCTCTGAGCTTGAGGGTGGTGGACGTTCGCCTCGACCCTACCTTTGTGGTACTTTACTGTAACTTTAGATCCTTACCTTTTTTGGGTTTATTGGGTTTCTTATTTCAGGCAGCGAAAAGCTTAATTTATAGCTACCCTCCTGAGTGCAGCCAAGCTACAACCCAGATATAAGCCTCCAAGCCTCCAAACCTGAAAAGACGTCACATAGGGGTCGGGTTTATTAGTTGACTAAACCCTAGAACCCTAAGCCCTAAACCCTAAAAAGCCTACGCGCCCGTGTGCCTAAACCCTGAAACCCTAAAACCCTAAAACCCTAAAACCCTAAAACCCTAAAACCCTAAAACTACTGCCATCATAGAGGCACTGCTATACGCACATGAGCTGGAGTACAGGGAAGTGGTCATTTACACAGACAGCCAATGGTCCCTTAACATGATCACAGGTAAGTGGCGCCCTAAAACCAACAAAGACCTGGTGCTCTTGGCGCAGACGCTAGCCTACGAAGCAGGAATCAAAACAAGTTTTCAGTGGGTTAAGGGTCATGCAGGTCACTACTACTACTGCATAGCAGATGGCTTGGCAGCACAGGGTAGGGATAGCAAAGAGTATAAGGGAGGCAGGAGACAACCAATAGCAACGCACGCCTCACAGACCACGCCCCCCACCATGCACGGCTCGCTCACCGATTTCCTCAACGCGGCCAAACATTCTGCCCAGGAACACTTCCCCCTGCAACAGCGCACCATTGCCAAACCCTGGATTCGTGAAGCCACGCTGAGGGCCCTGGCACAGGCCCGTGTTGCTCAAGCTGAACAGTCGGAGGACTGGAAAAAGTTGCGCAACCAGGCTAAAAGATTAGCGCGTAAAGATAGGGTCCATTGGGTTCATGAGCAACTGCTGGCTGATCCGGCAGGGACCACATCGCCAGTGTGGAACACGGTTAGACGTCAGCGTAAAGGTTTTCAAGGCCGCCGTACTCAGCTTATAGTAGAGGGTAAGCCAGTACCATGGACGTCAACCCATGTTGCTTTCCGAAATCATCTACAGGACACACAGTGGGGACAACCACACATCCCGGACCACTCCGCACAGAAACGCTCCACGAGATTACCCCTCCGTCAGCCAGCGCCGGATGAGCCCTTGTTTACCCGCGGCGAATTGTTGGATGCCTTGGGTAAAACCAAAAAGGGGAAAGCGCCGGGCCCCGATGGTATAGTTAACGAAATCCTTCAGCTTTTGGACGCGGAGGGCGAAAGGCGCCTGCTGGAGTTTTATAACGAAGTTTGGAACAACAGGACCACACCGCCAGATTGGTCTCACGCAACAATAGTTTCTATTTACAAGGGAAAGGGGGATGACTCGGACCCGGCATCATACCGCCCCATTTCCTTACTTAACGTTACCTACAAGGTGTATGCTGCAATGCTCCAAGCTAGGCTGGCTAGCGCATTTGATGAAAGACTTCGTCCACAGCAGTTTGGTTTCAGGGCTGGAAGGGGTACACGTCACCCCCTGTTCGTGGTCAGAAGGGCTATGGAGTGGTCGACCATGACTAACAGAAACCTACAATTACTATTTCTAGACTGGAAACAGGCCTTTGACTCCTTGGACCACACCGCTATGCTACAAGCGTTGCAGCGCTTTGGACTTTCACATAAGATGTTGGACAACATAAAATCTATCTATGCTAATCCAACGTTCCAAACAGTAGGTCTTGACCACACCGCCGTAGGACAAGTTAAGGCTGGAATTAGACAAGGAT